TTGACTATAGTCATTAATTTTTTACCTAATGTTGATCATGTATTTTAAATAGAAGAATTTTCTGTATGGGCATAAAATAATCAACCTTCTCTTTCGGTCTCGTTTATAAATTATTTTATAAATTTACAGTATATGAATGAGTCGTGGGCACATAAAAGAGTCAGATGCTTTGTGATAATTAGCAAAAGCAATTTACATATATGTGTGCCTTCAGGAAGCTTTTTCAGTGATTTTTGATTTGATCATAACTTGTTCTTACAACTTACAACTTAAGGACTTCTTGGCATATCTTTTTTATTTGGCCAGTGTTTTATGAGCTTATTTATTTATTTAGTGAGACTAGCTATAAATGCTTGTTAAACATGTACTTGTATATATGGAGGAATTGCTGCTATTTTCATCTTTGGGTAGAAGATATGTGAGACTTTGTGTTAATAGAGATGGGTTCAGACTTATGTCTGAGAAGAAGCTAGTGAAATGCTTTCCTAGTCGTTCACAAATCACTGTAAAGCATCTGAGCCAATAATTATGGATTTTATCTGCCCTGTCTCTTTCTAGTATTGTAGAGAAACTGGAGTTAGTCTAGAACAGGGCTTCTTAAACTTTTTCCACTTAAACTTTCCACATCTTAAACTGTGGGTTATGACCTTGTGTGGGGTCACAGTTTAAGAAGCATTGGAGAAGCTGGAGTTAACTGTTCTGTTGATTATTATGTTAAAAGTACATCAGCTGTTTCTCATTTGATCACACTTGGGTTTTTATTGTGTTGGACTTGTTGAGACCATAGAGATGACCAGAAGTTTTCTATATTCTTCTCTTACCTCTGGGTATTCTCTCTTGCCTCTGAATTCTTTACTTCTCAAGTCTCCGTAATAAAGTTTTTTTATTGATGTTGAATTATTAGTTTTATTCTTGCTACTGCACTGATTCCTTATATCTCCTAACCTTTTGACTTTTTTTAGTTGCTAATTGAAAAATTCTGGTATTTCTGATATGCTTACCCTGTTCCACTCCCAATCACCTCCCCCCCCCATTCCTTTCCACATGTTTCTTTATTGTTTTCTTTAATTGGCCGTATGGCTTCAAGTTTTTGCTTTATCTTTTAATGTCTTCAATAACTTCTTTAGTCATTCTTTCACATTTTTATGGTGATGTTTCATTAGCTTGCCTTACCTCTTAAATTTCTTACTGTGGCAGTGGCTATTGCATATATAGGTATATTCAGGTCTTGGAATGTTTTTACAATTTTTTTTTTCAGATCCTGTAGGAGAATGTTTGCTCATGGTGGTTATAGTAGATACCAGCAGATTGCTTCCTCTGTCATTTCTTTTTCTCACTAATTTTCAGTCTCTCCCTGTCTACTCTGATACCTACAAATCCTCTTTGGGTTTTTCCCATTGTCAAAAAACCGTTATTTGATCTAGCCATCCCTGCTTGCTCTTGTTCTGTATCTCTGTTCTCTTTTGTGGCTAAACGCCTTGAGAAGGCCATCTATAATAGGTGCTTCTACTTCCTTTACTTTTTGCCCTCTTCTTAATGCATCTTGAATGAATTTTCAGGGTAATGAATAGCCTGGAGACCATTTTCCTAATGTATAGGTCTGACCAGGTCACTCTTTGTCAAAAAGATTCCCTGTTGCCCGCAGAATGAAATGCAAATCTGTTGACCTCCTACAGGCTTGCTTCATGTGCTACCTTCTGAAAGTGGCCTGTCCTGAGTATCCCAGTCCTTAGACATCATTTCTCCCTAGTGTGCAGCACAATATCTACATCATAATCATTGAAATCATTTTGTGTTTATTTTTTATAGATCTGATATTTACTTATCTACAAATATATTGCGTTCTGTCTATAACTCTAAGCTCTTGGTGGGTAGAGATTGTCTCACTTTTATTTTTATATACTTAACACAGGGCCCGGCACTTGGCAGGCACTTAATAAATTGTTTGACACTCAGGTCCTCCACAATCTGGCTTAAGTCTACCTTCTTTACCTTCTTTTATCTATACATAGAACTTCACCCTAGTCCTTATATGGTCTATGTTTTAGCCAAACTAGAAGCCGTTCCCTTCTTATGTCCTGCTTTCTTTTCTCAAACAGGGTTGTCCCTCATATGTAGCATATATTCTCTCCACATCTTTAAATCCATATCTTCCTTAAAGGCCCAGTTCAAGTGTTATCTCTTCCAAACAAGCCTTTCCTCATCACTTTAGCTGAGAGTGATCTCTACATGCCCAGATTTCTTACAGTACTTTATATAGACTTCACATCCCATTCAGCCATTTACCCAAGCCATCTCATCATTTGTCAAGTTCTCCACTCCTTTAAAGTTATTTATTGTTCATTTGTTTCTGACTCTTTGTGACTCCGTGGACCATACTGTTCAAATACTGTTCATAAGGTTTTCTTGGCAAAGATACTGGAGTGGTTTGCCATTTCCTTCTCCATTAGATTAAGGCAAACGGAGATTAAGTTACTTGCCCAGGTTCACATAGCTAGTAAGTGTCTGAGGCTGGATTTGAACTCAGATCTTCCTGACTCTAGGCCCAGCACTATCCGTTGAGCCACCTAACTGCCACCTTTATAATGGGAGCTATTAAATCATGTCTGATTTTGACTGTGTCTCCTTGGTATTTGAGTTCTCTTTCAGGAGGTGACTGGTGGATTATTTTTATTTAAGATTTCTTGAAATAAAATGTCTAGGCTTTTTTTTGATTATGATGTACAGAAAGTCCAATGATTTTTAATTTTTTTCTCTTTGAATATGTTTTCCAGATAAGTTTTTTTTTTTTTGCTAGGAGAATATCTTATATTTTCTTCTATTTTTTCAGGCTTCTGACTTTGTTTTTAATATTTCTTATTGTTTCATGGAGTCATTGGCTTTTATTTGGTACATTCTGATTTAGGGGGGTTGTGACTTGTACCTCTTTTCCAGTTTTTTTCCTCTAGTGATCTCATTTCATTGACAAAAAACATTTTTAACTCTTTTCAAAAAGATTTTGGAAAAAACAAACCCACAACAAAACTCTTGCTTTATGGCTTCCAGAAATTCACAGTGTTTGTCTCTTGAGTGTCCCTGCCACCATAATAGCTCATTGGGGGAGGGTGTGGGCCAGTGTTATTTTGTTTGCTCATTCTTCAGCTTACTTTTTGATTTCATACTTGATGTTAGGCCAAGCCCTGTGAATTTCTGGAGTGAAGGTCTGGGCTGATCTTGTTACTCCTTTCTCGGGGGTATTGAGTGTTATGTTATTCCAAGATCTCAGGGACAGGCTGGGGATCTGCAGCCTTTCAGTGCTCCCAAAATGGTTTGACCCAGAGCGGATTCTGATTGCTGCCCCTTGGTTGGGCTTTGAAAGTCTCTGGCCTGGGTCTGGGTCTGAGCAACAGGAGATTGCTTGTGGGCTAACCCCCCATCATCCAGTTGGTGAGCTCTGCCAATTCAGAATAACAAAATTGTAGGCTCCCCTTTACTTTAGAATTCCAGCCCTAGTTATTCCTCTGCAGGCTGGGCTAGATGCTGAAACTCAGACCCTTCTCTGCTGCTAGAGTCTGAGCTACACACACTCCTGCTGCTTGCTTCATAACTTCCCCCTTTCTTAGGGCAAGGGCATAAGCTCCTCATTCCACCCTGGATCTGTGACCTGGAACTGAGGAGTGGATGACAAAGCTACCAGTTGGCACCTGTCTTTGTAGCCGTCCTCTGGTATGGTTCTGGGACCTCCTCTTGCCCTAGGGCACAGTCTCTCCCAGGGTGCTGGAGAACTCTTAGTGCAGCATGCTCTTTGCCTGACCCTTTCCCTAGTGTCAGCAGATCCCTCCTGTCTCCCTATGCCAATCTTGGCTGAACCAGTAAGTCGTGAACCAGTGACTTACTGCAAATTTTTCTGAATTTCTTCATCAGTATTTGGTGTTGTGTATTTTTAAGATCTCTTTGGAGGAGCTTTTGTGGAGGAACTCACCGTACCTGTCTCCTGCTACTCTACTGTCTTGGCTTTGTCTCCCAGGTTCTCTTAATGCTTGTGCCTTCCTCTGAGATTAACTTCTATCTACTCTCTCTCTATTTTGTGTGCATCTGATTGTTTATATGTCCTCTCCTCTGTTATACTATGAGCAGAGGTTCTTTTTGCCTTTTTCCTATCCTCGGTGCTTAGCATGTAGTTAGTGCTTAATAAATAGTTGTTGAATGTCTAAGGGAGAGGAGAATGAAAGACAGTGTTATCAACATTGTAACACCTGACATTTGTATAGCTTTAAATTTTGTAAAGAAAAATGGGAAAGAGAGATATGGAGAAGAAACTCTTTCTTCAGATACTTACTAGCTGATTAACTACTGAGTAGTCTTGCAACTGCTCTTTGTTTTTAAATCTTCAGAGCTTTGGAAGTAGGTTGGTGGAGGGGAAATGATTTTCTAGATTTTGTATTTTCCTCACCCATGGCTCAGGGATAGACCAAAATTAAAAAAAAAAACCCTCTGGATAATGGACCAAATGGGTAACATACGTGTAGGTCAAGGGTAGGGAACCTGTGGCCTTGAGGCCACATGTGGCCTTCTGAGTCCTTGGGTGTGGCCTTTTGACTGTTTTACAAAACAGATCCTTTTATTAAGGGGATTTGTTCTGTAAAGTTTGGATTCAAAGGGCTGCACTTGAGGACCTAGAGTGCCACATATGGCCGAAGGTTCTCCACCCTATGTAGATCATTCAGTTGACTGTTTAAGGATTTATGAATTTCACAAATATACTACCCAATCTATTGTTTTCCTTAATGTTATTAAGCTAATTTTTGGAGGCCAGCCCCAGCCAATTCTGCTTCTATTAGATCCTTTGTTATAGGATTTCTGCTTTTGCTTTCGCTACCAAACTTCCTCCCCTAGTTTTCATGCAGGAAGTTGTGCCCAGGTCATGGAGCCAATTAGCAAGATGTTCCTATGTGATGAACAAAGAAGTCATTTCAGACTTGCTCACTCTATAACTGATCAATTTATGATGTTTTCTTTAGGAGTTGCAGAATGATTTAGACAGAGAAACGAGTAATTTACAAGAATTAGAAGCCCAGAAACAAGATGCCCAAGATCGCCTTGATGAAATGGACCAACAGAAAGCTAAACTTAAAGATATGCTAAATGATGTAAGGCAAAAATGCCAGGAAGAAACACAGATGGTAAGTGTTAGTTTATCTTTGAAATTTTATGTCTCCCTATTGCAGGTTTAACCTTGTATTGGACTAGTTAAGCCATCCTATCCTTAGTTATACAGACTACACCTGTAAAACAAGGTCTCTTTGAGAAGGAAAAAGTTACACACCAAAAGTACTGATGTGAAATTACTTGAATCTTCAGATGCTTCTTTTATCCTGCTGGGGTAGGTATAGATCACAGCCAGTCAGCATCATCTTATCCCATGGGCTTCTTTTTCATATCTTTCCAAAAATCCTTCATAGAAAATCCATACAGAACACTGGAGAACTTCCTTTGTTGTTGTTGTTTTTTAATCTTAGGGATACCAGTTCAGAACTTGTAGTCTTGATCTTTTGTCTTTCATTCTTGGAACATGATCAACCTACATCTTTTTTCTGACATATATGACTTTGAAAATATCTTTTATTGCTGTATACAAGTACTTTATAAATGCCTTTCTTAAAGTTTTTTACAGTTATTTTCATTCAAATAAAGATATTTTGTTCACATTTATCATCATTGTGCAAGGCTTTATTGCTTTCATTATAATTTTCTTGCTAAAAGAACAGTATCTAAATTCAGGTTTAATATGAACCAGATTTGAGGAGAAAAGTGTAGCTTGTATTCATACAGATATAGCAAATTAAAAAAAAATTTATTCAAACCTTTTCCCCCTCTCAAAACTTTCTTTAAATGGTAACATTTTGTTGTCTGTTCTAGAGTATAGTGTAGCCTGCTATTCCAGGCTCAACCTTGACATTCAGTTCAGTTTGATAAGCATTTATTAAGCTTCTGCTACATGCAGAACTCTCTGCTGGCCACTAGAGAGAGAAAATTTAGGTAAGAAATTAGGGACATACCAAAAAAATAATCATATCCTTTGAACCACTATCTGTAATTCCATCCCATTGTAGGCAATATATTGTTTAAGTCAAGGGTTCTTAATTTGGGGTCCCTGGACTTAAAAAAAATACACACACACGTATTGTTAACTTTTTCACTATAATTGATTTCCTTTGTAATCTTGTGTATTTTGTTTCATGCATTTACAAGCATTATCCTGAAAAGGGATCCATAGTTTTTACCATACTCCCAAAGGGGTCCATAATACAGAAAAAAAGTTAAGAATCTCTACTTTTATTGTTCAGATCCTGTTTGCTATTTACCAGCTATATAAATAGGAACAAGTCATTTACTTTCTTTGAGCTTTTGCTTCTTGATTTATAAAATGGGAATGATACTGTCAGTATCTACCTGACCAGGGGTAGAATTCGGATTAAATGAGATGCCTGTATGTATGTAGGTGTATATATATAAAAAAAATGTATGTAGAGTGCTTTCTAAGCCTTAAAGTATCATGTAAATGTAAATGGTGAATTTATTATTATTTCAGGGGTATTCATGTTACAGTGGCATTAAAAATTTGAGGAATATAAAGTAATTTGGAAAGCCTGATATCTAAAAGAAAGCAAAACGCTGGGCATGGTGGTACATGCCAATAGCAGTCCCTATTATGCTGGTGGACCTCTTGAGCTCAGGAGTTCTGAGCTGCAGTAGAGCTAAATTGATTAGCCACTCACACTAATTTCAGCATCAGGTGAGCCTTCAAGAGTGGGGGTCTACTGTATTTCCTAAGGGATTCAGTCCAGGTCAGCAGCAGAACAGGTCAAGGGTCTATGCTAATCAGTAGTGGGATGGAGCCTATGAGCATCTCTGTCCTTTTGGCCTGAGTGAAATAAGGAGACCTAGCCTTTAAAAAAAAATGCACAAAGACAGCAAAAACAGAAGAGCAGCATACACAGTGAATATAACTAGATGAAGAGAAAAATATATACACAGATACGGACGTGAATGAACAGAGGACAGAACGGGACAATAACAAGCTGTGATGAACACATTTTATGTAAAAATTCATTTTAAAAGCAGTTATAATTGTGTGTTGATTTTATTGCTTAAAATTGGTATAATTTTAATTCTAGGTTTCAAGTCTTGTTTTTTTTTTTTTTTTAATGAGGCATTTGGGATTAAGTGACTTGCCCAGAGTCACACATCTGGTGAATGTTATGTGTCTGAGGTTGAATTTGAAGTCAGGTCCTCCTGACTCCAGGGCCGGTGCTCTATCCACTGCTCCATCTAGGTGCCACAAGTCTTGTTTAAATAATATAAAGATTATACTGTAAAATAATTTCAGATCTTAGAACTGTATTGAAATTTATTTCAGATTTCATCATTGAAAACTCAGATTCAGTCTCAGGAATCGGATTTAAAGTCACAAGAGGATGACCTGAATAGGGCCAAAACTGAATTGAACCGATTGCAACAAGAAGAAACCCAGCTAGAACAGAGCATCCAAGCAGGGAAAGTTCAGCTGGAAACAATAATTAAATCTTTGAAATCAACACAAGAAGAAATTAATCAGGTACATTCACAAAAATTATACCTCACTTTCTATATAATTGCAAGGTGGTCTTTTATGCCAAAAAGAAATAGTTATCGTTGACATCTGATTTTGAATTTGTGTCATTGACACATGGTTGAAATGGCCCTGGATTTAGAGTCAGAAGATTAGAGTTGAATTTGAGCTATGCTTCTTACTTAACCATTCTTTTAACTTCTTGTAGCCTCTGTTCCCTTATTTGTAACGTGGAGATAAAGATACTTGTAGTGCCCACCTCACAACGTGGTTAGGTTAAATGAGGTGGTGTATATGAAACACTTTATAGACCTTAAATGATTATGCAAATGTCAGCTATCGCTCTTATTACCTGTGTGGCCCTGGGCATTAGTAATAACTGACATTTATGGCTCTTTATTGAGCCCTCTTCTCTTTTCTCTTCTCTCACTTGGTGATTTCATCTGTTCCTACTCACCTGGACTGTTGCAGTAGCCTCTTAATTGATTTCCCTCCCATAGTTCTATCCCCCTCTAGGCCATTTTCCACTTAGCTGCTGAAGTGATTTTTGTTTCTTTCTTTTCTTTTCTTTTTTTTTTTTTGAAGAAATTTTTTTTACAACTAATAAGCATTTGTTTTTTCCCTCCTCCTTCCAAAAAGGGGTGGAAAACCCATGATACAAGTAGACATAGGCAAAAGTGGTTTTTTTTTTTCTGTGTCTACCCGTGTTGTTCCCTTATTCAAGCAGCTTCAGTGGCTCCTTCTAGGATAGAAGAGAGCGTTGACTCCTTTGTTTGACATTTAGAGCACTTCACAATCTGGTTGCAACATATGTTTCAAGCTTATTTCTTCTTTTTTTCCCACATGAATACCACATTCTGACCTGGTTTACTTACTGTTCCCTCACATGACATTCTGTCTCCTGAGTCTGCATCTGCATTGGTGGGGCCTACCTCGCTGGTCCCCATCCCGTTCCCACCCCTGCCTCGAGGCCCCCCCACCCTACCCCCATTGAGAGTCTGGAATGTACTTCTTCACTTCCACCTCTTAGGATACCTAGCTTCCTTCAGGGCTTTGCTCAACAGAACCAGAAGAACAATTTATATAATAATTGCAAAGACAAACAACTTCGAAAGGAACTCTGATCAGTGTTATGATCAACCACAGTTCCAGAGGTCTGATGATGAAACATCTTGCCTGCTTTTTAATTAAGAGGTGATAGAATGACATGTTGTATAGATTGAGACATATTTTTTCAATGTGGCCAATGTGGAATTTGTTTTCTTTGACTATTTGTATGTGTCATAAGGGTTTTGTTTTGTCTTTGCTTTTTTTCCCCCAATGGTAAGACATGAGAAGGAAGTAAAGCAGATTTTTAGCTGGGAAAAGCCCCCCAAAGTTTAACTCAAGTGTCACCTTCTACATTAGCCTTTTTTGATCTCCTCAGGTCTTAATGCTCCCACTCCCACTTCACATATTTGTATTTATTTTCTTTTTATGTGTTATTTAGACTGTAAGCCCCTTGAGGGCTGGGACTGTTTCATTTTTCTTTGTATTCCCAGTGCCTAGCATATTGTAGGTGATAAATATTTATTGAATGATAAAGAAATCTGAAAAGTCATCTAGTCCAGTCTTACCCTGATATCATGAAATTCCTTCTACAATATCCCTACCATATAGTCTTCCAAACATCTTTCTCAATATCTGTGTTGGGGAGCTCAGTACTTAGTTAGGCAGCCTATTCTGCTTTCAGCTATCTCTAATCATTAGGAAATGCCTACTTACATTGACCTTTATGTTTTATTTCACTGCCTAAAATTTGGACCCCTTAGTCCTAATTCTTCTCTCCAGATATTGGTAGAAAAAGTCTACTGTCATTTCTTCACCTTTAAAACAAGAGAATATGCATATCACCTTGAGGGAGTGTTTAAGGAATAAATCATCTTAGAACTTTCAAATTGAGATCTACTCTTAGCTATTCACAGAAGGAGATATAGCATAAGAAAGATGTGCTGCTTTTGGTTCATTCTGGTCTCATTTTCTGCTTCTGACTATATTGTAAACTTTTTGAAAGAGCGTAGGATGATAGTTCCCCTCACTAGTCAAGGACACACCTAGCACTTGGTGATGTATGATGCTTAAATTTATTTAAGCCTTTTTGACCCTCTTTATATCTTTAGCCTATCACAGTATCTTTTTTCCCAGAGTACTGTGCTAGGCTCAATAGTAGGAGTTACAAGGAGGCATATTTTTGCTCAGTGTAAGGAAGAACTTTCTAACAGTTAGAATTATCTGACATTTGACTGGGTTATCAGCAGAGGAAGAGGGAGTTTCATATTACTGTAAGTATTTAGGAAAAGGCTTAGCCACTTGTATCTGAATACATTGTAGAGGGGATGGTTTTTGAATCAGGTAGAGGTTGGAATGCATGTCCTGGTTTAGGGTTCCTTTCAGTCCTCATAGTCTGTGTTTTAAGGATTTTTCATAGGTAAGTTGGACTAGATTGGAAGAACCCAACAATTCTTCCCTCAGTAAGGCTTCTACTTCATATGGAAGAAACCTGTTAACTTTTTGTTCCTTATAAAAAGACTTGTAAAAGCATTACTGGTCTTTTTATTCCAAGTGAAAGATGCAGTCATACTCAACAGAAGTGAGATGATTACTTACCTGGTTCAATTTTCACTTATATCCAAATTAATTTTTCAGGGTACAGTTGAACTCAAATAATCCCAATTCCATTTTCCCCAAGTGATTCTAAGTGAGAAAACCTGGTTTCTTCTTTTGTGCTTTATCGTCATGGCATGGAGGTGACTCTGGGTTCTTGAACGTTGTTCCAGTGGAGTCAAAGCCCTGACTGGTCCTACCAAGCTGGAAAAACTTTGAGAACAGACCTAGTGAGGATTTGTGTGTCAGTTGTCCAAGAACCAGCCACAGCAAGCACAGTAGGCTCATCACCAGAGGGCTGGCCACCAGGTGATTTTTACTTTTGGCCATAGCTACTCATGCAGCTGCCTACTAAGGAATAGAGAAGTTGTGATCTATGTCAGTTGAATGAATACCCAGACAGATGAAATCAGAGATTCTGGAAGTATTTCCTTTTAGTCACAAGTTTAAAAAATTATATATATTTCTGTACCTAGCTTTTCTATGAATTAAATCTATATTGGGGGTTCATATATATTTATACATATATATAAAATTATAGATTATGTAATAGTGTATCAATTACAGTGTATATATATGTATGTATGTGTATATATATATACACACACATATATATATACATATATTTTAAATTTTATTTACTTATTTTTAGTTTTCAACATTCACTTCCACTAGATTTTGAGTTCCAAATTTTCTCCCCATCTCATCTCTCCTTCCTTCCACCGCAAGACGGCATGCATTCTGACTACCCCTTCTCCTAATGTGCCCTGCCTTCTATTTCTCCCCCTTCTCTTATCCCATTCCCTTTCTATTTTCCTATAGGGCAGGATAGATTTCTGTACCCTGTGCCTGTATATCTTATTTCCCAGTTGCATGTGAAAACAATTTTTAACATTTGTTTTTAAAGCTTTGGGTTCCTGGGGCAGCTAGGTGGCGCAGTGGATAGAGCTTCGGCCTTGGAATCAGGAGGACCTGAGTTCAAATCCGGCCTCAGACACTTGACACTTAACTAGCTGTGTGACCTTGGGCAAGTCACTTAACCCTGATTGCCTAGCAAAAAAAAAAGAGAGAACTTTGGGTTCCAGATTTTTTCCCTCCCTCCCTCTTTACCCACTCTCATTGAAAGGGGAAGCAACTCCGTACAGGTTATACATGTGTAGTCATACAAAACACTTCTATACTAGTCATGTTGTGAAAAACTAACTGTATTTCCCTTCATCCTATTCTGCCCCCATTTATTCTGTTCTTTCTTTTGACCCTGTCCCTCCTTAGAAGTGTTTGCTTCTGATTAATCCCTCCCCTAATCTGCCCTCCCTTCTATTATCCCTCTGCCCTCTTTTTACCTTCCCCCCTATTTTCCTTTAGGGTAAGATAGATTTCCATACCCAATTGAGTGTAAGCCATCCTTAAGCCAAATCTGATGAGAATAAGATTTACTCCAGAATATATATTTTGCCAACATGAATTAGATAATGCCATTTAGACAGATGTGTTTATGAAGTGGAAGTTGATTTATTTGTGAATAATTAGTCATTCTAGAGTATATCCAGTTTCCTACTATTTTCAAAGATCATTTGAAGAATCTAGAGATTTTTAGCATAATGGAAAGAGGAGGAAGGATGGGACACGAAACGTTGTTCCATAGAAGAGGGAGCCTACTTAGCTTGACTTGGGGCCATAGAGGAGAGTGAGTGCCAATGGGGAGTGATAGGGGGGAAAATTTCAGTAGTCTTGATAGCACAGTGGTTTCATGAAAGGAATGCTGGATTTTGAGTCAGAGGCCTGAATTCTAGTGGGACTTGGCTACAATGTGACCTTGGTTAAATCTCTTAACCTTTTAGGACCTCAGTGTTACCATCTACAAAATGGGGAGTTGGAATAGATACTCTGGAAGGGCCATTCCAGCTCTGTATCTTATTGTCCTCTAAAGAAAAACTAATAGCCAGAAATGGATTGGACAGTCTGAAAATGGATTGGACAGTCTCCTTTGGTAGTGTATCTCTTCAAGCAGAGACTCATTGACCATTTGTCAGGGGTATTGTAGAAGGGATTCATACTTCAGGTTGGGGTTCAACTGAATAACTTTTGAGGTCCTGCCTAGTGCTGGCTAAGATCCTGTGCCTCTTCCCCCCCCCCCCATATTGTTGTGAGCTGGATCTGAATAAGAAAAGCAGCAGCCTGTCACCTGGCTGACTTTGTTGGGGCTTGTATAACATGTGACCATTTTACTCTTACATAGGCAAGAAGTAAACTTTCTCAACTGCAAGAGTGTCACCAGGAAGCCAGCACAAGTATTGAACAGTATAATGAAGCACTGAATGGGATTCCTGGTGACAGCATGACGAATTTAGCTGACCCCAGTGAAGGAGCCACACAGAAAGAAAAAGGCAGTTTTGGAGCTATGGTAAAGGTTGAATAAAAGTAATAATTAAGATTTACATTTTCCAGTGTTAACAGCAAACAAGTTTTATCAATTTGTACATCATGTCTCATTTTGATTTTGTAAAGTGAGGGTTTTTGGTTGTGGTCTTAACTTCCACAGCTCTTGTAACCTAGTTTTCATCACTATATTTGACTTTAATATTTACTCTGTAGTTGTAGGTGAGAATGATATGTAAGAACTGTTTTGAAGGAACCTCACTTGCAATGAAAGTATTTGTACAGTGATGCTCACCAAATGTCTGGGGTCCTTCAGTAATGTGTCTGTTTAACTTAACCAAAGGTGGATACGAGTATTTTCTCTGCTGAGCCTACTGCTGCCATGTTTTCTGTGATAGATACTTTCTTCAGGAGTAGCATCTTTAAAACAAAAGTTTAAGATAAGGCTTAAGGAATATGGCAATCAGACTTTAGTCATAAAAAGAGAGACCCTCCTAAAAAATGTTCTGTGAGTGAAGTGATAATATTCTTCCCCTGCCTGCTCACTCATCTGAAAGAACATGCCTGGGGGATGGGGTGGATATTATCATTCCACTCACCTGAAATGTTTGTAATGTTAAGAACTCAGCACTTTATTTTAAACCTCATGACTGCAGAGCAAATATCACAATGTTAGCTATGTAGGCATTTAGTTCCTTGTGTTTACTATTAGGTTCCAAGGATGCATATTGATATCCAAATAGCATCCCTAGATAACAGCTTTGCCCATTTATTGCAAAGCTTCCAGATATTGTTCCTGGGAGGAAACAGAATTTTCTGTTTAATCCAGTTACTTTTGTGCTGTTGAGGTGAACAGGATGAAAGCAATTGGTCTGAAAGTTTTGGTGGCTTTTGGCTCTACCATCCTTGTACTTTTATGCCACATCCTTTTACTTAAATGTTACTACTGACATTCTTTTGGGGCTCTAATTCCTGTCCATTTCTGGCCTCATTTGTTAAGTGGTTCCTTTTTTCTTGTAATAATGCAGGCTCCTCTTTTCTAAACATGCCTGACATCTTTATATCAATTTAATTCTTGACATTTTTCCTTGCTGCATAGCTATACAGTTTGGTCATACCTGTCAACTAGGGAGAGTTATCTTTCTCTGGTTCTCTTGCACAGTGCTTTTTAGTTTTCCTAATTTACCTCTTCTCTGCAGCTACTGCTTGATGCCTTGGCATTCCTTCTGTACTACCTCTTCATTTCATTTACCAGTTAGCTTTCTTCTTATGGAACTTTCAACATGTGATCCAAAGTATCTTTTAGTTGTTCCACATGTTTTAAAAGGTCAGTATTTTCTCAAAGAAGTCTTTATGTTACAGAGTCTATTAACGTTACTTTAAAAATTAAAATATTAGTAGTCATCTTTGATAAATTATATGAGCCAGAAGTTCAAATTTTCTACTATTCATTAGTTGTTCTGTGTATTTTCTTCCAATTTTATTTAAAAAATTGCATATTTTATTTTGTCTAGTATTCTTAACATTAGGCCTTTGAACTGTGGTAATTAAGTTTTAGTTCCTAATACAGTTCACTTTTAAGTATCACTTCTGCAATATTTCATAAAATTGGTTTCCTTGGGGGAAAAAAAATTGGAGTTGACATGGCAGTCAGCGTGCTTTGTAACATGGCCAACTTTCTTCCCCACAGATTTTACTTTCCTCATTATTTTTGTTCATCTTTAAAGTATAGCTAAGTTTACATGAAAGTTAACTAATCTTGGGAATGTTTATGTCATAAATGTTAAGTAAAAAACTGCTAGTTTTTAGAAAACAACAACAACAACAAAGCCAATAATTATCTTATTGTACAAATACAACTTTAAAAACCTTATTTGTTTGTTTCTGTTTCTTAATAAACAATTTGAAAAGAGATTTTTGTTTACTACAAAAAATGACAATTACAGCTGATCAAAGGAGAGGCATCTTTTAGTTCTCATTAAGATTTTGTTTCTAAGGGAATAAATAACTGAAGAAACACATCTAAGCATTGTCTAAGCAAAGTTTAATATACACTTCCTGAAAGTTGCTATTTGTCCTGTTATTTCTTCAATTCAAGTCCTTTTCTCTTATTTGATTATACCCTCCATTGAAATCCTGCTCCTATGCTCATTGTGGCATTGGGTCCCCTGGAGACCCTGGGTCTTTGTTGGCTATGCCAGCAGTACATAAACTCTGGCAGGCCTGCCATGCTGGGGAGGCTTCATCCACAAGCTTGCCACTGGACTGTGCCCCTTGTCTGAGGAAGGACCTAGACAAGTACAGAGAGGCTGATCACTGGAAGGGCTGGTCCCACAGCAACGGATGGAATGTGGAGAGATTGCAGTTGGCAGAGGTGGAGGGAAGTGACCCTGCTGATGACATCTTAAAGCTTTCACATGATCTGATTCCAAGCATACTAGCCTCATCTTCTTTGCACCGTTCATTCTGCCCACCAAGTACTTTTGACTGAAAGAAGAAAAATCATTGCAGACTTGAGCCTCACTGAAAACCTTACCCTCCTCTCAAGGACCTGCCTCTCTATCACATCCTAGGCATCGATCTAGCACTCTTGTCAAGCAAAGGAAATTGAGTTGATAATGCCTTTGATGACATTTCAGAGTTGTCATGTTGCTTTAGAACACATAACTTTACATCTGTGGTCAGTGAATCTTTTAGTAAGATTTGCTTTTTTCACAGTGGTCAGTCAGTCGTCATCAGTCCTTTTCCCTTGCACTTAGAGGGCCTCAGAAGGCAGCTCCATCGTTTTTCATTGATAGGTAGACACTGGATGGATTACCTTGATTCACTCTACATTTTTTAAGGTGTTATTTTCTAGCTTGCCAACCATCTAAACACTAAGCCACACTAATTGTACCAGTACTTTCCATAGACCTTTTCTGTTAAAGGAACCTAAGAATTCTGATTCACATGAATTACAGTTCCTTGAGAGACATTAGAGATCCATTTCAGAATTCCATTACTTTGTGATCTGAGCACCAAACTGGTGATTGGTGATCGTGGAATCGTAATCCCATGTCTGTAGTGGATGGACTGCAGAGTATTTAGAATAATCCAATGTAAATGTAAAAATAGAATGGAAATGTTTTCATTCTTAATATACCATGTTATCCAGCTCTCTCATTCTTCTCTATCATTCTTTGAAAACGAATAAATCCCTTCCGAACATGGTGTGGTACAAGAGATTTATTTCCCTGACTGGCGAGTCCACTCCCATGAAATAGGACTTTTTCATTTTTTTTCTTCCTGTATCCAAGAATTTCACTGGATATTAGCTGAATATTTTCATTATTTGGTCCTTAGCACTGTTATACCTATACGGAATCCTTGCACTATTTGTAGTATCCAGGGTTCTTGGGTGGTATATTGGGCAAATAGCTCAAGAATCTGGCTCTGGTGCCTACTTTGGTAGGCCATGTTGTTGAAGACTACTGATAACCTTTCTCAGGTAAGAAAAATAATGTTCTGTACTTGGCAGAGGGTATAGCTATTTGTTAAACCCTGGAATCCCAGATTGAGGACAGTGGAGACTATTAATTTGGGGTAAGGCCTTTTATTATTAGGAGATCTGGAAAGCTACATTTTAACCAAGCACCAGTGAAAGCTGTATTGCTAAATGGAATTGATTTCATTGTATTGTTAACCTTGTCATAGACTCTCTTGACTGACAAAGTTTTTTTCTTAACTGCCTCTTATGCTTTTATGGCCCCAGCTTTGTAATTGATAATGATCCTAAGTTTTGGTCAATTTGGATAATATTTTGGGCTTGGTATACCAACCCAGTGGAAGCTAAATAATTTATTATGTTTGGCAGAGATAATGTTTGTTCTGCTATAACGAAACTTCTCATTTTAACTAACAAACAGTTTATCTTCATTAATGAAGATGTGGTCTTTATTTCTAGATGATATGCATATTCTGTTACTGTCTACATTAGAAATTAGCCTTTTATGAGGCTTAAATAAAAAGTATACATTTATAATATAGATTTCCTTAGTTTGTGCTGGTATCTAATGTGTGTGTTATGATAAATTGTGATAGCTATAATTAAAAAATACAGGTAGCCCCTCCCCCCCCCGCCATTGTAATCTAGTTAGCCATTGTGCTTTAAAGTGATTGGGGGAGGATTTTGGAAAAACACTGTAAAATACATAATTTAAAATATTTGTGTAGGTAGGTTTTCCCACTAAGATTTTTTTTAAAGGAATTGTAGAGTCTATATGTGTGAAAACGAGAAAGAAACCATCAGTTACTTGAATAAGACCTTAAAATTTTTCTCTTAAATTTACACTAAGGAAGACACTTCTTTGAATTTTATTTCAGTAGCTATTCATTTTAGAATTTCAGTATTTAGAAGGGAACATGAAAATATTTTTGGAAATCTACATTTTGACTGATTTATAATTTTAAATGATAAAAGCCTTATACTGTTTCTCCCTATAATTGTAGGATGATCCATTCAAGAATAAAGCCTTATTATTTAGCAACAGTACACAAGAATTGCATACAGACCCTTTCCAGGCAGAGGATCCTTTCAAATCTGATCCATTTAAAGGAGCTGATCCCTTCAAAGGCAGTAAGTAGGGGTTCATATATTGATCAAAAGATTATATGTACCTACAATGCCATATTTATGTAATAATTTTAATCTAAAATGGTCAGAATAAAGTGGAAGTTATGTGAACATTTGGGTCTTGATCTAAAGACATGCTTTACAAATCCTCATTGATCTTTTGATTCATAACCCTGTTAAAGAGCAGTGTTTCACTCAGTTACACAGCTGTCTAGCAAAGTTAGTGAGATTGGATTATTGCTCTCCTAACATTTCTTCCTTCCTTTAGCTTAGAGCCAAAGACTGTTTTATGAGAGGGGTCTGTGAGAAAAACAGTGTGAAGTAGGGAGAGGAAGGTGATTTGTAAGCACATGCAAGGTGATGTTCAGATTTCTTTTCCTTTAAAGTTTCAGATTGCAGATTTTTAAAAACACCCTTCATTTAGGGGAAACATCAGGCAGCTGCTAGATTTAGCTCCAGCCTCTGCTCCTAGTTCCCTCTACAATGTTGCATTGGGAGTGGGTCTGATAGCCTGGCATTTCAGGCCACGGGAGGACAGAGTTATACCAGGGGCTGGCCTCAGGAGGGAGTTCTGACTGGCTCTCTGGTCTGTCCCCCCCCCCCCCAGCTTGGGGCATATAGCCTACATGCAGTTCCTTTAATTTTAGCTTTTTACTAGCGAAAACATAGTATTTGTACATAGAAAAATTGTGCTTTTGGTAAGAATTGCTGTTCCGAAGCAAAAGGAAAAAAGTGTGTTTGTAAGGAATTATGTTGGGGTAAAAGGAGAGGCATTTTTCTTCCACAAATGGGGGAATTAACAAGGGGAAATGTATAAGTAAATAATGTTTCCAGAAGCCTTAAATTTGAGGATTTCCCCCCTTTTTAAATCTAGGTGACCCCTTCCAGAATGACCCTTTCGCAGAACAACAAATGACTTCAGCAGGTAAAAGATTTTTTTCAAGGAACATTTTCATGGAATCCTCCCAGAACAGTGTAGTCTGGAGAACATATGTTGTTCTTTGCTTAAATTGAGGAAAACTGAAAAAATCAATACCTCCCAGCTTCCCCTAGTGGAATCTAGTCCAACAGAATAGTAAGTGTGTTTAGTTTCTAAAGGAATCTGAGATTGTCATCTCCTCTCCTTTTTGCAGTTTTATGCCCCTTCTTGTCTATTTCACAACAAGGTGAGGAGCAAAACTGCAAAGGAAGCTCCTGATAGCCAGGTGATAGTAAGTACTTGTCCATGACAGCCTGGTTCAATGTCACAGAATGTTACCCTTGGACTGATAGCAAGGGATCCATGTCACACTTGTTCATGGGGGCTTCAGGAAATGTTGATCATAAAAGCCAATATTTTTATAGTGCTTTCTGGTTTGTAAAGCCCTTTCTATAAATAACCTCACTGGATCTTCACAGCAATCCTGTGAGGTAGGCAAGGCAGATCTGTTACCTCCATTTTATAGATGAGGAAACTAAGACAAGTGACTTGCTTAAGGTCTCATAGTTAGCACATGGTGAACCCAAATCTTCTGATGCCAACTCCATGGCTGTTTGCACCATGCTGCAGAGTGTCTGCAGTAGACTGCTAGTCCTACCTACGTACGAGGAATGACGTCGATCATTTAACATAAAGTCCTGATATCTCTCTCCTTTCTTTGCTGTCTTCCTTTCTCCATAGCCTTGCTAATTAGTATGTTTATCTTCTAATGTCCTTATTGATCATACCTAAAATTGCAAAAGTTTCCTTGTAGTTGGAGCTTTAAATGTACATTTTTTGAACAGTCAAGTAGAGTGATCCATCTATGGGTTACTGATGTATTTAGCATTTGTGAAATGGTGTTTATTCATTTATTTTCTGTCACTAAATTTTAGATCCATTTGGAGGGGATCCTTTCAAAGAAAGTGATCCATTTCGTAGCTCCGATGATTACTTCAAGAGACAAGTCAAGAGTGATCCATTTACCTCAGATCCATTCACAAAAAACCCTTCCTCATCTTCAAAAGTAAGTGATTCTTTAAGATAGATAATAGATGTATATTATATATATACATATATATATATACACATATATATACATATATATACATATATATACATACACACACACACACACACACACATATATGCACAGGAATAACTGAACACTTTTAATTGCTTTGCCATGTAGGCATGACAAAAGAACAAGGAATAGTTAGTGCCTTAGGAACAGTATTAAACATGAACTCTTTTTTAGAAATGGAGGGAGTGAAAGGGAGTTGGTGGGCCCTAGAGCTAAATGTAGTAGGGGATACAGATGCAGGATTGGTGATAATGAGCCTGACAATATACTTTACAGCAATATCAAGGTGGCAATTGGGCTATTACATATCAATGCCACTCTGAAACAGAATAAGTTTATATTGGATATATGCCTTGAATGCTTTTCATGATCTTAGAGAAACCCTTCATTGTTAGTTTCTTTCTCATTATGGAATGGGAGTCATTGATTTATTTGTTTTTACACGTTAGAGAATTTTTCAGGAAATGTTTTAATACGGTCATATGAAGAGTAAAGTGCCCTGTGTATAATAGGTGCTTAATACTTGTGCTGAAGTTGTTAATAATATAGCTTTCTTTTATGTAGCTCTTAATGCTTCACACAGGCTTTCACATATGTAGGGTAAGTAGATAGTTCAAATAGTTGTTAGTGTTATGAAGGAGGGCGGTGCAAGTCAGAGACGTTAATAATATGTTATTTGCCTTCTGTTAGATAATTATTAAGGGGTAGCACTGGGATTTAAATCCAGACCTCCTTATGCTGCTATAAGTTCACCATCTCCACTATATCATGTTTCTTCTCTTGTATCCTTTCCCTCCTTAAGAACTTAAAATGGTTCTCACCTGTCTTCTAACAAAAGTCTAGATTCTTCAGCCTGGCATCTGTAATCTGATTCCCAATATTCTTTTGCCTGTCCCTTGACCCTATCCCTATACAATCTTGCTTAGTTATCCATCCTCATTTCTCATTACTGAGTACAATAGCCAGGTTAGTATCCTCATTGTCCCCCAAAATATGTTATACTGATTCCCACTTTCTCCTACTTTAATGAAACTATCTAGATAACTTCCATCAATATTGCTGTGGTTACAATGCCATTTACTGTCTGTATCATCAGTTTGTATGCTTAATTAGTTTTAGCACTTTATTTTAAACAGACATACCCAGTATAATTTTTCAGTGAAGTGATTTTTTCTTGGTGACCTCATTAGCTCCTGTGGGTTCAGTTATCATTTTTATGTAGCTGAGTGGTGTATGGGGATGTTAAGGGACAGCCAGCACCTCTGATGTGAGGGCTTGCCAAGGCCTTTTCAGGGCTTCTCATCCACCTCTGGTGTCCAGCCAGTCACCTCGCTCTCACCTGCTGCTCCAAGAAGCTGTTGCATGTGAAGTGGCCACACCCTGGTAAAACTGGCTCGGGAGGCGGGCTAAACGAGGTTGACAGTAACCGACAGGCCTCAAACTGATAGGTGAGGTGGGGGATATCTACCCCAAGCATGTAAAGACTTCCTCTTAGGCAGAATGAGTGGATGGGAACAATGTGTTCCAAAGGCTGTGAAGGCAGCTGAAGCACTGTGTCTTAGACCATCGCCAGTCATCTGGGCTTTGGTCTTTCCACTGGACTTCTACACCAGAAGAGAGCTCAAGGCTGATGACTTTGTGCAATTCTGCCTGACTTAAGTCCCGTTTGTGTGTGTGTGTGGACATTTTCTGGTTATCTGTATGTGGTCAAAGCACAAGTTGGAACAAATGAGGAACATTAAGTTTACGTACTGTTAATATAAAGAACAACAGAAGGGTTACATCAAGGGTTACATCAGGTAACCAAAACTCTAGCTTCTCTGGAAGACAAGCCCTTACCCCATGATGTCATTGGTCCTCTTAGAAAATCAAAGACAGAGGGCAGCTAGGGGGCGTAGTGGCCTAGAGCACTGGCCCTGAAGTCAGGAGGACCTGATTTCAAATCTGGCCTCAGGCCAAACACTTGACACTTACTAGCTGTGCGACCCTGAGCAAATCACTTAATCCCAATTGCCTAAAAATGAAAAAAAAAATTAAAAAAAAAAGGAAAATGAAAGACAAACAGCAACGACAGCTAGATGGCTGCCAACCCTCGTGCTCCTTGTGATTCTACCGCCGTGTCGCCAGATGCCTTTGGTCATTTCACACCAGCTGTCCCTTAGACATCTCAACTTAACCGTGTCCAAAAACAGAGTTTTCTACCACCTCCTCTTCCAACCCTACCTCAGTACTGTTGAAGACATCCTTCCAGCCGTGCAGCATCACAATCCCCATGTCATTCTTGACCCTTCACTTATCCTTATTCCACGTGTCCAGTCAGTTGCCAGATCTTACCACCACAGCATCTCTTGAATCTCTCCCCTTTTGTCTGTTTGCATAGCTAAGCACTGCCCTAGTCCAAACCATTGTCCCTTTTCACCTGAAGTGTTGCAGTAGACTTCTATTAGGTCTCCCTACCTCAAGCCTCTCTCCCATCCCTCCCATCCTCTACACAGCTTCTAAAGTGGTTTTCCTGAAATGTAGGGATGACCGTATCATTCTGCTGCTTGCTTGATAAACACCATTCGCTCCATAGGCAGAGCCTACCCCCCAAGATCCAATATAAACTCCATTTGGTATTAGAAGCTTTTCATAACCTGACCCCTTCCTACCCTTCTAGTCCTGTACATTAGCCCTCCATGTGCTCTGTGGTCCAAGACATACCAGCCTAAGATGTCCCGGTCCACTTGCTGTTCCATCACCTGTCTCTTTCTGTGCCTTTGGCCTCAGGCTGGGCAGGTATTCCTTTCCTCACCTCTGCCTAGTTTCCTTCAAGACTCAGCTTCAGTTCTGCCTTCTTCATGAAGCCTTTCCTCATTCCTTCCCAGCTGCTGGTGCACCTCCTCCAAAACTGCCTTGTCTTCATTTTGTATGTGTTCTATATAGAGCCCTCCTTGTTTATTTCTTTGTTAGAATGTAAGCTTCATAGTGGAGACTGTCGCTTTTGTCTTTGTGTCCCCAACATTTAAAACAGCACTTGGTCCATAAAAATCGTTTAATAAATGCTTGTTGATTAATCACTTGATTGATTTGTTACTACATTATAACCATGCTACAGTGTTTCAAAACCCCATTGGGATATTTTATTAGACTGGCTACCCATTCACTGTACCAATGATGCTAATTGCTTCCATAATGGTGTTTTTGGTGGAACTAGTTAACAGTGTCAGGATATGTTTGTACTGTCTCATATTCTCTAATTTGAGAAATTCTTTTATGTTTCTCCAACAAGACTATAAGATCCTTTAAGGATAGAGATTGTCTCATATTTTTTGTATTAGGTTAGATTGTAAATTCTTTGAGGGCAGAGACTGTCTTTTGCCTCTTTTTGTGCTTATCACATTACTGGGCACATAGTAGGTACTTAAAAAATATTTATTGAATGAATATCTTCACTCAGTTTGCACAGTAGTAGGCACAGAGTAGGTAGAGGAGGGGAATGCTTGTTGAATTGAAATTAAATAGCAGAATAAAAAAAAACAGTTCAGCGAAAACAACCAGCACATTGACGACATCTGACCGTTCATGTGGTATTCCACACCCGTAGTCCTCCACCTCTGCCATTAAGGGAAGGAGGTATATTTTCTTACTTCTCAGGGACCAAGGCTGTTTAACTTCTGGAAAGTGTTGTCATTGATGCCATTTATTTATAACCCTTCGCCTCCTCAGCCCCCAAATTATCTCCTGACCACAAAAATTCACAATTTTTGTCCAGTCCTCATCCTTTTTGATGCTTCTGCATATTTCACACTTTCTTCTGGGTGCTCTTTCGTCCCTTGACCTCAGAGAAAGCACATTCTCCTGGTTTTCCTTTTATCTCTTACCACTCCTCTGTCTCCACTAGGTACTTGATCTCTTATGGAGGGAATTCCCTAAGATTCTGTCTTTGACTTTTTGTCATCTCTACCTGACTCCCTTCTCAATTCATTCCCTAGCTGCAGTTACTACTACTGTACAGATAACTCATACATCTATTTTTCTAGGTGTAGACTCCTATCTCCACCTGTTTACAAGACCTCTCCATTCGGGTCTCCCACCATAACTTCAAATTAAACACACCCTATGTTGAGCCTGTCACTCACTGTACCTTCTAAATATGTCCCTACTTTTGACTTTGCTTTCTAGCAGTTAGTACCATCTGCTTTCCATTGTTCCCCTCTCACTTGAAAAAACAGTTTTTTATTATAAACATCATCACAAACATGAACATTTTAATACACAGAAAACAAAAAAAAGGTTCGTATATAAAACCACGCACTTCTATTATGTACAGTTTAGCTTTTTAAAGTATATATTAAAGAAGGTATATATTAAATTTAACAAGGTAATTACAAAATTATCCTGTTGTATTTTTTTTTTTGGTCCCCTTCTGAACTTTTTTTTTTGTTTTCTCCTGGGCACTTTTAAAATACTTTATTGATCTTAATTTCTTTCATTTTTTATTTTGTTTTCTGCATCTCTGTCACTTCTAACTTTTCATGTCCAAGTTATAACTAATTCCTGTTGTTTCTACTTCTGTAATATTTTTCTGTTTCTACTACCGCTATCCCAATGTAGGTCCTTGTTACCATTGACCTTGATTGTTGAAGTAGCCTCCCAACATATCTTTCTGCCTCTCATACCTCTTGCTTCTAATCTTTCCTTATTTTGATGCTAGATTAATCCTCCTTATATATGAGTTTAGACTTGATCATAATAATTCACATTTACATAGTACTTTTAAGGTTTGAAAGTGCTTTGCATTATTGCCTTTGTGTCTCACACTATCCCTGTGGAAGTAGGGAATGTAGGTAATATTAGCCTCATTTTACAGGTAAGGAAATAGACTCAGTGAGGGTAATTGGTTTGGCTATAATAAATACAGCCAAGAAGAACTATGGGAGGTGAGATTCAACTAAGATGGG